CAAAGAAAAAAAACTTTTAAACACAAATTTAAAAATTTTGATCATTCATAAACCTTCCCTGGGGTCACGTGAGGTCCCACAAAAAATTTGGGCCCGATCGGTTCAGCCGTTTTGACGTTTATTGGATAAAAACAAACAGACAGACAAGCCAAATTTATATATAGATATAATTGTAATCTCCGTTTGTCTGTCTGTCTTTTTGTTTATTTGTCCGATCATAACTCAGGAACCATAGGACCGATTTGCCTCAATTTTTGATTAGGGAACTCAGTAGGACCACGGTAATATGTTCTTAGCTTGATTTTGAAATTCTAACTTAAGTGGGTACACTTTGACAGAAAAAAATAGCTAAAATCCTAATTCACGACAAAGTGCGGGTAAATGGCGGGATTAACTATTACTACACTGGATAGCGCTGGGTTCCCAAACTAGTATTTTATAAAGAGATTGATAATAGATTATATGAATGAATATACAAAACAGTTAAAAGGAGTATAGTAGTGAGTCTCTATGTCCGATTCACAAAGGTACCTTTAAAGCGTTGTTTGATGAAGAATTAATATAACAATTAACAACCAAGATTAATCTTTCAAAATTTATTATTTTTAATTCTGGATTTTCTCTAATCGAGTGACTTGCGTATTGCTACTGCAGATACGATAAAATTATACTATCAGAATAAATCACTTTTCAATGTAGAAAAACGTCGAAATCTTCCACATTATCAATCACCTAAAGGTTCATAGGGTACCTTTGTGTATCGGATAGGCCCCTCTTTAAATAAAAGGTAATTTGAAATTATAAAAATGGTGAAATCAAGTGCGTTATTAAACTATGTTGACATAAGTTGTTGTCGAAGTGGTTCAAGAAGAAAAGAATGCAGGTTTTTACCGATGAATGGAAAAATTGTTTGTGAAAAAAACCCCTAACATTAATATATATGCAGTAATGTTTTATTATACTTAATATTAACTGGTTTCTGTATAGAGAATAAGGTTGTATAATTAGGTTGCTTACTCTCGATGCGCTCCAATGTACGGAAAATTTCCTCTCCTTAGCATAGATAGATAGAATCTGCATATGACGTCACTGATTATAGAGGCGAGAGTGACGTCATATGAGGATTCTATCTATCTGTGCTAAGTTGACGACATTTCCCGTAAACTGGAGCGCATTGAGAGAATGAAACCACCTTCTATATATAAAATTAGCTTGTCTGTTTGTATCCAATAAACGTAAAAACGGCTGAACCGATCAGGCCCAAATTTTGTGTGGGATCTCAAGTGGCCCCAGGGAAGGTTTATGAATGATCAAAATTTCAAATATTTGTCTCCATCAAAATTCGATTTTTATTAAATTTTTGAAAATTTAGTAAATCCACGAATTTTTTTGTTAAAATCCGCGAACTTTCTTTTGTTTTGTTTTACGATGTACACAAGGAGAACATGTTCACAATTGAAATAGAAGATGGGCGCGAAGCGCCCTAAAAGCCTAGTATTATATACTTGGCGATGAATTACTTTAAAGAACTGAGAAAATTTTCGAATCTTTGGCAAGGAGTTCCCTAAACTCATTAAAAAAGAAAACGTTTGATAAAAACAGTAAAGATTATATATACACATGACACTTGCAGGAGTACTTCTGTTAGCAAGGGATAGTAAAGAGAGAAAACGTCATTAGAATTATATATTGTAAATGTAAATCTGGTCCATTTACTCTGTTTCCGAGTTGTTTAATGGAACCTCTTTCTACATTCACTTTACCTCCCCCCCCTCTCCTCCTCATTCACTATTTCATAATCAAACATTACTTACTCCCCCTGTATCCCTACCTACTCCCCCTGTATCCCTACCTACTACCCCCGATCCCTACCTACTTCCCCTGTATCCCTACCTGCTCCCCCTGTATCTCTACCTACTCCCTACCTAATCCCCCTGTATCCCTACCTACTCCCCCTGAATCCCTACCTACTTCCACTTTATCCCTACCTACTCCCCCTGTATACCTACCTTCTCCCCCTGTATCCCTACCTACTCCCCTGTATACCTACCTTCTCCCCATGTATCCCTACCTACTCCCCCTGTATACCTACCTTCTCCCCTAGTATCCCTACCTTCTCCTCCTGTATCCCTACCTTCTCACTCTGTATCCCTACTTTCTCCCCCTGTATCCCTACCTACTCCCCCTTATACCTACTTGCTCACCCTGTATCCCTACCTACTACCCCTGTATCCCAACCTACTCCATCTCCTTTCTAAATCCAACTACTATGTGAATCAGCATCTACCCAACTACACAGTGTTTATCCAACCATAGATTAATAACAATACAGAAAGAACACTAGATGTCGTCGTCTTTTCAAGATTTAGGGTTTTTTTGCTTACAAAAACCACAGAGGCAGAAGCCCAAAGGAGTTATGCACAATGCGCATTCTCTCTCTCTGTTTAGTAATTCAACGCTGCCTGCGCGTAATTCCTTCTGGCTTCTGCCTCAGGGTTATTGTGAACGTAAAACCCATAAATTTTCGAAGACGACATCTAGTGTTCTATCTGTATTGTTATTAATCTATATATATGTTCTATACTCTTCGTTTACAGTACTCGGGGGTGATTTCTGAATATATCTATTTTCATTTAATCAGAAATAGGTTTTAATCAAAAAAACTTAATAAGACTGTAGACACTATTTAAACTGATCTTTTCCGTAATATTTTTTTAAAATGCCAATTGCATATCCGGTTAGAAGAATTTGTTTTCCATTTTACTAATGAAATCTACTGCTCTTTTATCGCATGCAGGATTATATTTTCACAAGAAGACTATTACCGTCTTTTACAGAGCAATATTTCATCATTAATAAACGGTTCCGAGAAAACTGAGTAAAATTTAAGATACAAAACCTCCCCATACACTTGTACTCCGAAAGCGTGCTGCATATTTGATGTTTGTATTATGCGAATGATCATGATATCTTTATATCCTTTATCAGTAAACTGTCCTAATTGTACACTCAGGCTAATATACACGGACAGGTAGCTAAGATCCAGCTTCCCTGTACTCATCCCATTTTAGTATTCCGGTCATTCTATTAATGGTTCATATTCATCCCATTTTAAGAAGTCTGTTCATCCTATTTTCATTCCATTCTATGTATTCTATTAATCCTATTATTGGTACATATTCAATATTCATCCTAATCTTAGTATTCTAGTCATCCTATTATTGGTACATAATCATCCTATTCTTAATATTCGATTTTTCCTTTTATTGGTTATAATTTCATCCTATTCAATGTATTCTATTCATCCTATTATTGGTACCTATTCTTGGTATTCTATTCATCATATTATTGATTATATTTTCATCCTATTCTTAGTGTTCTATTTATTCTATTTTTTGTACGTATCCAATATTCATCCAATTCTATGTATTTTATTCATCTTATTATTGTTACATAATCATCCTATTCTTAGTACTTATCCTATTCATCCTATTATTGGTACTATCTTCGTCTATTTGATTTAAAGACTGAAAGGACAATCATTATGGTTTATACCATTTTTTTCTGTAAATAAAGAGAAATAAGTTTTCTCTCTAAACTAATTTTTCTACTTCTCTCCTTTGGGAATCCCATCTTAATTATACCTTGAGGTTTTATTGAGGAAGCCAAAACCCTCAAAAAAACGAAGAAAGTTTTGTAACCTTTTATAAAGCAACATTCCCCCCACGCTCATAGATATGATTCTATCTACCTATTTGAACTGTTATGGACCACGCTGGATACTTTTGGATGATTATAGATAAGTGGGCCCTAGGTTTTTAGTGAAATTTTCAAATCTTTGCCGGGTGCGTGTACTTTAGGTTTCACTCTGACAAATTTTCATTCTGTTTATCGTTCATTCTTGAAAAATAACTAGTTCCTTAAAAAACTGTCAGAGACAAGTTCAGGGTTCAAAACAGAGTAGAGTATTAGTAAGTGGTGGGCCCTGGAGTAAGAGAAAACAAGATACTATAAATAATATCGTGTAAACATGACATTGCCTCTCAAGACATTAGTAGCATCAAATGCTCCTTGTTTTGGGATTTCCAAAAATTGATCTACCATTTTTTTTACCTTATGAGTTGACTGAGATATTGACAAACTGGTCTAAGATTTAAACTATTAAATACTATCAAGGTTACTAAAATCTTATCTCCGACAGTTTCTTTAATACAAAGAAGGAGGCAAAATTTTACCAAGTTTTAAAAACTTATAATGTTTTTCTATACTCCTTTGACGACTGTTAACTTTACGAAAAACGCAGACAAATTTGAAGTCCAGGGTCCAATGTCTAATGTACTGCATGACACCCAAGCCAGAAAATTACATCAAAGCTTGTCTATGAGATATCCATTCTACTATATATCCATGTTAACCCCCCGCCCCCCCCCCCCCCGGTCACCCTCTTAAGCTATTTTATCCTGAATTATAAGAAGTATGTACTATGTAGTGCTGACTTGCATGATCATAAACAATATATACAGGCATAAACCCTCATAATACAGTAATACAAGATTAAGACATTATTTAGAGAGCTTCGCACCTCTTTTCTCCAGTTTAGATATAAACTTTTTGTTTCTTCCACTCAACAAAGAATTAAGCAGTAATTTCCTTCAATTAACTAACCCTTTAAAAGCATTACAAATTTGAATTATAAATCTGTTTAGTATTGCGCTTAGTCAGTTCTAATCTCGCGGGTGTATCGGCTTTAGGAAACATACTTTTGGAAACAGCTGGTTATAGACGAGCGAATCACTCTAAACTAAACCTGGGTTTAGGGGAACTCACTTTGGGTGTTAATGAGGCTCCAAACCTCTCATAGTAAAAAATTAGGTATTAGTTCCACTTAAAAAGAATATATTTCGGTCTGAGTTGACCCTCTTCAGTTCTTGAGATTTGTTTCTGTCTTGAAGATTTAAAACAAACTCAACTAAATGTCTCAATAATATTATTTTAGATAAAAAATGCAAGATTAAGGTGATGTAAAATGATGCTATATCTTGATTATATGAGTACAACCCTGAAATGTTGAAGTTAAGTGAAAAGGAGAAGTATAACAAGAAACAATGATAAATCTAGGATAATAGTAAAGTGAATAAAAGTTCCGATTAAAGATGGCGGCTAAAGGGTAAAGTACAGTCGACTAGAAATCCTCCAAGAATCCAAGATGGTGGATCTAGGTGGTTACGTCATCATCCTCGTGGAGACTAAGGATAAGAGGGTCAAACTTTACGGTGAGCTAATTCAAACTTTTCCAGGAGTTTGTTGGTTAAAAACAGATAAATTTTAGACACACCTTAGAATCTACAAGGTCTAAATGAAAGAAAATTGATTATTTTTTTAAAATTCATTTATCTTCTGTTAGGGTCAAATTTTGCATAATAGAAAAGGCAAACTTATAAATTTTAACCCAGAACTTTGGAGGATGGAAAGAATTTATGAAATGTCGTCTTGACAATTTTTCAATGGGGTTTCTCACTATTATACTTTAATCTCAGTAATTGTGAACAGAAATAAAAAACCATTAAATATGCGGAACAGTATGAAAGAGCTCCATAAAATTATTCAACCTTAATTTTTCATAAGTCACTTGTAAAGCCAAAAAAACATTTACTGACCAAATTTTACAATATTTGTTCCAGAATAATTATTTTAACTAATAAACCAGCAGAGTTTTAAAGAGAACAAATTAATATATATATCTACAGTATATATATACACATCTACAGTATATTTATATCTGCAGTATATAAATATATATATCTACATTATATACTATATATACTGTACAAAAAAGTCACAACTTTTAAAGTAATATCTTTGGTATCTGGAATGCATGCCATTTGTTAGAAAATTAAATTTTTTGAATTCTACATAATTTTAAATAAAAAGATTTTCGTTTTTATCCCAAAGGAATTGAGTCCTTGCCACAAACTCTGATTTTCTTATCCCTATATCTTTGCAACCCGATGTCGTAGACCTTGAATATTTCAAACTATGAATTCTGTTAGATCGAATAGTATGTTCTAAATATCAAAGGTTTTCACCATCAGGTTGAAAAAAGAAAGGGATTAGAAAATTAGAGTTTGTGGTTATAATTCAATTGGTTTATAAATCAGTATTTAATAAGCGTTAGAAAGGTTCAAAATCAAGCAAGTAATCCTGTGCTTAATGGAGCTGTGTAATGTATGGATCACGGATGCTCATCGAGAAAAATTCTGCTTATTTAAACCAATTTATAATATAAAAAAATGTTTATTATTTTTGCTAAAAAATGACTTGCACAATAGGCATATTAACAGAAATAAACAATTTTTAAGAGAGAAAAACGACATTATCTTCAACATCATTAATAAGATAAATACAGGGTCCCTTAAAATTTCAACCCGGATCGGGAAATATTTTCAAAATGTTGATTTCCAAAAAAAATCCACACGTTCGCTTTTATAAGGTGTTTAAACGCTGGAGTGAATGTGAGTTTAGTTAAACCGAACTACTCTGCTTTAACTTTTAGAGATAACTTTCTTTTTAGAAAACCTTGGTTCAAGATGATTTAAACTCCACGAGTCTGTAGAAAACTATTAAAATTGAAATATAAAACCTTGGTTCAATATTATTTAAACTCCACGAGTCTGTAGAAAACTATTAAAATTGAAATATAAAACCTTGGTTCAATATTATTTAAACTCCACGAGTCTGTAGAAAACTATTAAAATTGAAATATAAAACCTTGGTTAAATATTATTTAAACTTCATGAGTCTGTAGAAAACTATTAAAAAATTGAAATAGAAAACCTTGGTTCAAGATTATTAATATATTAAAAAAGATAAGAGTAGCGTTATTTTCTTTACTAGCGTTTTATCTGGTAGCGTTTAATGAGTGTAGCGTTTTATGAGGTAGCGTTTCATATGTGTAGCGTTTTTTGAGGTACACCAAAATTAAAGTAGAAAACCTTGGTTCAACCTTTTATAAAGTCTGTAGAAAACTATAAATAGAAAACTCGAAAATAAATCCTAATCTTCCAGTGAATCCACTCCTCTGCCAAAGTATAAACAGAAAAATAAAGTTTCAATTGAAGATAGAGTTCAAACCAAAACAATTCCATCAATACAGTTTATAGAATATATTAGATATCCAGGTTTTCAGGTATTATTTATTGGTTTCAAGCCACCATATCGCAATTTAAAAAAAAAAATTTGGATAAAAAAATTGAGTCTATACCACAAACACAAATTTTATAATCCCTATATCTTTGCAACCGGATGAAGTACACCTTTGATATTTCCAACTTAGTTTATTTGATCTAACAGAATTGATGTTTGAAACATCAAAGGTCTACGACAATTTGGTTGGAAAGATACAGGAATTATAAAATCAGAGTTTGTGGCAAAGACTCGATTCCTTTCCAAAACTTTTAAATCAACAATTTCTTCCACCTTTCTTTTCTAGTTTTTATCAAACCGCGGATAAATCTTTTTCTGTTGAACCTTTTTATATATCCTTCATGGAAATTTCCAGGGATGTTTTTACGATTAACTAATATTGGAAAACTTTAGTTCTATTGCTCCAGGTGTTATTGTTACAGTTGATTGTAAAAGTGTATTTCCTATGTTAACAAGTACTGTTCCACAAACAGCTGTCTCATATTTCTACAGAAGAACTTGGTTTTCTGATTCTTATATCTTTGCAACCTGATAATGTAAACCTTCAAACTTAGATTATTTGATCTAATAGAAATCATTGAAATATTTGTATAACATCGCGCACTGTGTTAAGGAATTGAGTCCTTATCACAAACTCTGATAATATATCCATATATCTTTGCAACATGATGGTGTAACCTTTGATGTTTCAAACTTAGATTATTTGATCCAACATAATTCACAGTTTGAAATATCTCAGGTCAACTACAATTGGTTCCAAAGATAAAGGGATTAAAAAATCATAGTTTGTGGCAAAGACTCAATAACTTTTTTCGCTTTTTATATTTACATAATATTACCGATCAATGGACACCAATTCGAGGTCTGGAATCGATTCTTTTTGAAAAGTAAATCAAAATTGTATAATTCGATAATTTAATAGCATAAGTATGAATAATTAAACCTTTACCAAAATAGCCTAGACATCTCGATGTCTTAAATTACCATTAAAAAGCCTAAATCAGAGAACTATTACTTCATAGTATATTCATTCAATTACTTAATAAAATAACTAAAAAGTGTTAAAATAACAAAAATAAATTTGATTGTACTTTTTACTTTATTATTTTTGACTTCGTTTATGTATCACTTTCATTCTACATAACCCATTGTATGGCTTGACATGTTTAATAATGTCTCCTTATTTTTGTATTATAATTTAAAGTTTTAAAAAGATTTAAAATAAAAAAATTGTCGAAGAGCGAGCAGTGAACATGTATTTTAAGAAGATAAATAGATCGCTTCAATTCGAAGTTTATTTAATTTTAATTTAAGATCTTGAAAACTACAACACAACTCCTTTCTTAAACTGTTATCAATAATAAAAAATATGTCTTAAAATTCTAATATGCAATAATAATAATAAGATGAGAAATCTTAGGTCGCAAAGTTGCATTATTTTTCCGAAGTAGTAATCTCTGTTTGTCTGTTTTTATGTCCGATCATAACTCGGGAATGTTCTTAGATTGGGTTATAAGTTAAGTGGGTTGACTTTTATAAAGAAAATTTAGTTTCCACGCTACTACTAATAAATAACAGGAATTGAGTCTTTGCCAAAAACTCTTATTTTTAAATCCCTATATCTTTTCAACCTGATGGTGTAACCCTTTAATATTTCAAACTTTGAAATATTTGAAATTTTTGATCCAACAGAATTCATAGGTTGAAATATCTCAGGTCCACGATATTGGGTTGCAAAAATATAGGGATTAGAAAATCAGAGCTTGTGGTAATTTCTTCACTATTTTCTAGTTAATTTGAGCAGAGCTTGAGATTGAACAACATTGTGTCCTAACTTCATGTGTCTCTAGGTTCCCCCGCAGACAAGGCTGAGCTGGAGGTTGCTGATGAAATCCTAGAAATCAATGGGAAATCTTTAAACAATTCATCTCATTCTCAAGTTATAACACATATTCATAATGTGAGTATCATATTAAAAAATTTAAGTAAATTTCACGTTAGATCAAGTTCCTACACTCCTCTTTCAAATAAGCAATTGAGAAGAACAAAAAAGTTTTGAATTTTTACTGTGTATTGTGCAACTAAATACAATGATAACCACAAAACTTTGGAATAGGCAGACGATTTTTAGACTTTAAATAGTCCAATAAACATGAGACACAGCAATTTTAGTTAATAAGTGATTTAATATGTTATTACTTAAAATGTTTGATTTCCTAACAACATCAAATACATGTAGTTATTACTTTAATGTCGTCTTCATATTTCACAATTTTCTGGTTCTCACTGTTTATCTGTTTGTTTTAGTGCTTGTGCGTTAAATCAATAATAAAACAACTTTATAAAGTCTAAAAGGATACAGTGACCTTTTTATTCTGTCTAAATTATAGTCGGGGTCATTAATATGTGTAAAAATAATAAAGATTTTTGTTATTATTATTATCACAATGAGGACAAAATAAAAAAAATGAGAATTATTTTCAAATCAAAATCCATGATTTAAATTAATTTCAGTGTATAAAGTCCAGAACAATATGTTTATATATTTCAGTGTATAAAGTCTAGAACAATATGTATATATATTTCAGTGTATAAAGTCCAGAACAATATGTATATATATTTCAGTGTATAAAGTCCAGAACAATATGTTTGCGTGTAAAACGAAGAACGGGAAGCAAGCTAGGTGAACCTTTAACAATCTAATAAAATAAAATATTAAATATTTGAAGTAAATAATCAAAAATTCAATCTTTAAATGTAAAAAAATTTTGGTCATTCATATTTTATTTAAAAGGAGAAAACTTTTAGTTAAAACATTCTTCGTTTTATCTGATAGAAAAGATGAAATTGCTTAAAATGTAACTTTGATTAAATTAATTTTATTTAAGAAATTTAATTTAAAAAATAATCTGATGAAGACGGGGATGTCAAGAAACCAGTAAAAGTTCTATAAATTTAATTACACTTCCTTCGTGTTAATATAAAGTTCGTAGATTTCTTTAAAATGTCCTTTTCTCCCTGATAATTAGTTTCCTAATTAGTCTCAGCCGTCCAAACAAACTATAATAATAGAAACAGAATAATAATAATATCTGTACTTTGGGATTAATTTCTTATAATGGCGTGTGACATATTCAAATAATTTCACTTCCTGGAAAAAAGTTTTGATTCAAGCTTATGATAAAATTATAAAGCTATATGTTGAAAACATAATCTAAAAGATGTATTTTAATAACATGTAATATGATATATACAAATAGATTTAAGGAATTTTCTATTGCTTAAATATTTATTTATTTAAATTTTTTACTAAATCTATTTAATATTCCCCTTTTCTTTTTTCAGGAATAATATTTATATTAAAAAGAAAATGAAAAAAGTAAGATTAGAGAAAATTCTAAAAAAATATTCTTTTCATCTTTCCACCATTTTTTAGTGTTGATATATTTGATATGGTTCAACCTTTTATAAAGTCTGT